ACCCTCTAAACCCTCTAAACCCTAAAGAAATCAGGCCTTCGATCCGGTCGACTGACAGCTGTCCGGGTCCATCACGCCCGGCCTCGGGGATGAAGAAACCGGGGCTTTGGGGTTTCGGGGCTTTGGGGTTTCGGGGTTCGGGTTGAGGGTTTAGGGTTTAGGGTTTAGGGTTTAGGGGTTTAGGGGTTTGGGGTTTCGGGGCTTTGGGGTTTCGGGGCTTTGGGGTTTCGGGGTTTAGGGCTTTGGGGTTTCGGGGCTTTGGGGTTTAGGGCTTTGGGGTTTCGGGGTTAGGGGTTTAGGGCTTATAGGGTTTAGGGGTTTCGGGGTTTAGGGTTTAGGGTTTAGGGTTTAGGGGTTTAGGGTCTAGGGGTTTGGGTTTAGGGGTTGAGGGGTTTATGGGTTTAGGGTTTAGGGGTTTAGGTGTTAAGGGGTTTAGGGGTTTAGGGTTTAGGGTTCAAGTGTCCAAGTACCCAAATAGTAGGGTTTTAAGTCCCAAGTTCCATATTCTGAATGGGTTTTGGCACCTGAAACCGTGCTGTTTGAGTACTTGGAGACATGGGGGGTTTAGGGTTTAGGGTTTGGGGTACAGGGTTCAGAGTCTACCTATAGTCTCCATTGTTGTGTATATTTAGAATCCTAAAAGGTGACCCCCAAAAAAGAACTACAATGGAGACTATAGATAGAAACAAGGGCATGTGCGGGCTCTGAAAATGCTTCAGGGCTCAATGGTCCAGGGCTTTGGGGCTGTGGGGTTTGAGGGTTTATGGTTCGGGATTTACGGTTTGGGGTTCAGGGTCAATCGGGCAGGCCTTTCAGGCGTGGAGGCTTACTGCCGAGGACGCGTGGTTTGGATGCTCGGGTTTAGGACTTGACGCGGTTTAGGGTTTAGGGCTTAGGGTTTAGGGTTTAGCTTGAGCTCAAGGTGTCTGTCTTCAAACCCCACCACACAGCTACCTAGCTGAGAACACAAGAGCTTAAGTGGTTCTGCAGACAAATTCGAATCCCCCAGAAAAGGATACCCCCCCCATCAGTTTGATAGCAGGTCGAGTTTAGAAAACCGGCTTGGCAGATTGTGCGATGTACTGAGCACGAAACATCGGTCACAGAGTTTACATCGCCGCAGTATAGTGCAAGATGGCATGAAATAAACTGCCTAACACAGTGCAGCGACAGTGGCATGTCACGTCGTGCAATGCGATGCACCACATTGGGTTTTTTGATGCAATGTAGCAAAGTTCTGTATAAATTCAGATGATGTACTTAAACGCCAATGTAAGTCTACATGTAATGTGCCCTATATCTAGATAGCCTAGATGCATGTGCGTACTGTTGACTTGGCGAAACACAATCGAGCATCTAGCAGAAGCCCTCGGAACCTCCATCCAACTTGTCCCAAGTACCAGACTCTCACCAGAACCTGCTTCTAACTATGCAAATCTCTATGCCGAACCCTGAACCAATAGTCATCTTCATCATGATGGCCACATCCTGAACACTAGCTCTTCATCTCGCCAATCTCCAAACCTAACACGTCAAGATGCTTGTCAAACATCACACGCGGAATGGGATCCTGAAGCACGCTGACTTTGAGGGTTGAACGTTTCTGCTTTACCACAGGCCCCCGTTATAGCTCCTTTTTGTGGTTTATACTTAGGATCCGACGAGGTAATCCCCAAAAGGATCCACTACTATGGAGCCTATGGGTAGGGGCAGTGGGAGCTTTTGGCATCAAAAGCTGCGGGCTTCTGCATCTGTAAGGCTTTAATCTAGTAGGAGTCTCTTAGGGTGGTTCGCTAAACATCCAAAGGATAGGGTTTAGGGCTTGGTTGCGGGTAGTAGTTATGTAGGTTAATATTTGGGAGACTGTATGATTAGTAGGTACTTGGACCCTTACTGTAGGGGTTGTTTATGGATCAGCTTTAGGGCCTAGCTCGTAGGGGTCAGTTAAGGCCTCGATCCCTGAAGCCCTAAACCCTAAACCCTAAACCCTGAAGTCCTAAACCCTAAACCCTAACTATGAGATGACCGAGGGACTGGAAGAGGTGGTGGTACCAAGTCTTCTACGTCTGCAAGGTTTGAACAATGGGGAGGCCCGTGGCTTGCCCTTGGGCTTGGCGTTCTAGAAGGGAACGGCTTTAGGCATGAGAATGGCACGGCCCTAAAGCCCAAAACCCTAAACCCAAAGCCTTAAACTGTAAAACCCATAAACCCCAACCCCTCAACAAACCTCGAAAACCCTAAACCCTGAACTCTTCGTTCAGTTCGGTTGCAGAAGCAGCCATGCCATGGTGTGTCACATGCTGAGCCTGCCCCCTTAACCTGTTACTCCCATTTAGGGCTTAGGGCTTACAGTGTAGGGTTTAGGGTTTAGGGTTTAGGGTTTAGGGTTTAAGGCTTACAGTGTAGAGTTTATATAGGGTCCGATACCGGTGTTCTAAAAGAGCTGATGACGGATGACCCTGGTACATGCTGAGAAGAGGGGCGCCCGGATCGATGTTTCTTGGGGCAGGGAAGGACCAGACAAGAAGATCTAGTTGAACCCTAAACCCTAAACCCTATACATAAACCCCAAAACCCTGCACCCTAAACCCTATACATAAACCCTAAAATCCTACACCCTGCACCCTAAACCCTATACATAAACCCTAAACCCTAAACCCGGAAGTAGGAATCTTCGTGAGCTGATCTCTTTGCATGATGGCTCGTCTCTCAGCTCGCGACAGAAAACTGAGTAGGGTTTAGGGTTTAGGGTTTTTGTTTTAGGGTTTGGGGCTTAGTTTGGATTTAGGGTTTAGGGCTGAGGGTTTTTGTTTTAGGGTTTAGGGTTTAGTTGTGTTTTCAGGGTTAGGGTTTAGGGATAGTTAGACATCACTTGCATGTGCTTTCGCTTCCTACACACGCACGGAAGTTAAAACAGGTATATACACCTAACCCTAAACCTGCTAAACCACCAGCACCCAAAAGAAGCCCAATATCTTCCGGCCAGCAATACATAAAAACCCTGAAGTCTAAACCCCGACCCCTCCGACTATAATGAAGCCGGAGAGCACGACTGAAGACCTCTTTGGGCTTCGAGATTTCGGTCTCACCCAATGTCACGACTTTGCCTCGCTTGCAGGCTTTGTTTTGGGCTCATGGGGTTTAGGCCCCTAAACCCTAAACCTAGACGGTGTATGGTTTGAGGTGTAAGCCATGTTCGCTTTGCTTCGGTGATTGCCCTAAACCCTAAACCCTAAACCCTGTTCGGTTCAGTAGGGCTTAGTGAAGTGCGCAACCGCGCCGCCTGGACAGTCCTACAAGTGCCTCTGAAGATGTGGGTAGCTCTCTACATTAAGGTCCTTTTTAAGGGTTTAGGGTTTAGGGTTTAGGGTTCAACTACCCATGTCCACTGAAATCGGATTCGTTCAGACATGCCCTCACGCTGAACCTAAAATCCTGGCACGGGGCACACAACAGCGCACAACCGGATGCACAGACAAGAGACGTGTGTGCAAGACAGACTCTAGATGCTACTGATTGTCATCTGATCTCAGCTGGCCGGCCGATTTACCGGAGCAGTGTTACAACACAAAACGCATCAAATGTTGCATAACAAATAATTACAATTAGACGATCAAACTTTGAATGTTGCCACAATGCAACGTCACGTTGTGCTTGCAAGACCCTTGACGAGTCAATGCATCTAACCACTCGTACTTGTCAAAAGTGCGAGTGGTGCAGCTGGTCCTCGCACCGGTACTGCCACGACTACCTCTTCCTCCTCCCTCTCATACTGCTGTTATTGCTAATTACTACTACTGCTACTACAGTGCCAGCACTGAATAAGAAAACATAGAATAAGAATCCAGCCCCTGGATTTGGGCGAACATGTACTCGAATCTGCCACCACCAAGCAAAATGAAATAATAAATTCAGGGTGCCCTGGCCACGAAACCCAATTTTTTTTTATCACATTTCTTAAATGCTGCCCCCCCAAGACCAGAAAAGGACCTTAAACAGGTTACAGGAGTTTGAAATTTGGGCGTAGGGCTTCGGGATTTAAAGCTTCAAGTTAAAAGGGGCAGATTTGATATCCGGTCGCTGGGACGGGTTGGGATTCCTGCAACAAATCGGCGAGAGTTTCGGAGCTCGCCCCGAAGGCAATGGGTGGAGGGTTGAAGACAAAAACATAGGAAAGAAGAAATTCAGCCCCTGGATTTAATATTTCCCTGGTTTTCGACTGGACCAAAACCGCAGGAACTAAGAAATTCAGCCCCTGAGATCTTATTTGCTGTGTTTTTGGCCCTACCGTCTAGAAAGGTAATAAGAAATTCAGGGGCTGGATGTCTTACTTCCTGGCTTTTATAGGCCGAGGACGGTTTTGCAGCAAATCGGCGAGAGTTTCGGAATTCGCCCGAAATTGGGCAGTGTTTGCTGCACAGGGTGGCGCACTACATTGGCCGAGTGGGGAGGCGGAGGCGGTGGAGGATCAAAAATCTGAACATCCAAAAGGCGGCTTATTACCGCCCCGGGCTCTTCGTCCAGTTGAGCCCTGGACGGCGTCAGAGGCGCACGGTACGACTCCGATAAGAAATTCAAAGTACCCCAAACCTGGCGGTTCTCATATATGACCCCGAACCGAACGCTATCTAAATAAGAAATTCAGGGTACTCTGCCTCGGATACAATAGTTTCTTATCCAACGCCGTCACTGTATACGGTTTAAACGAGTGCAGGATTCGACGAAACACAGGCTC